AGAGAGAGAGAGAGAGAGAGAGAGAGAGAGAGAGAGAGAGTATACTTTCGAGTTTCGTTTGGTAGGCGAAACGAAGCTGTTGTTGAAAGCTGCGAGTGGAACAGACTGGACAATATTAATGCTTGCCCGTCTGATAGATCTCTTTTCTCGCCTGTTTATTCCTCGCTGGCCGAATGATTGAGTTTTATTGATCGATGGTGAATTACGAGGCAGAAAAGTTCCCTCCGCTCTCGATAGCCACGCGGTATCTCGCGCGAATAGAGGTGGCTATCGATCAGTGTAGCGTCGGAGGTAATTGTGGGGGTTGATTTAAAAGGAATTGGGATAAAGTGCTGAATGTGAGCGATTGTTTCTAGTTTCAGTAAATTAATGCTGTGTTGTAAATGCTCGTGTATTTGAAATTCAAGAAAGTTCGAACGTACGTGTAACGAGAAGAAATATATAAAATATTAAAAATATAGTTGAAATAAAATATAGTCTGATGCGAAGTTAATCTGTAACTAGATTCCACTCTTTAATACATAATAATAAAGATGGAATAGAAATATTACTATCGTTATAAAATTTTAAAATCAATCGGAAACGGGAAAGAAAAACCAATATAGAAAAGCGTAAATCCAGAACATATCTTTTCTATTTTTATATCATTTAATCGTTATAAGGACTAACTTTTTAAATTCTTACGAATCATTAAAATACGAAATTTTAAAATCCAAAACCAAAAAGCAACATAGAAAAGCGATGTTTGTTAGAAAACATACCTTTTATATCACCCCTTCTATATTATTATTTTTGTATCATTTAATCATTGTGAGAAATAACTTTCTAAATTCTTATAAGTCATTCACTTTAAAACACGAAATTTATGAAATCAATCTAAAACCAAAACATATCATCCAAGCAACATAATATCATTTTCTCTATGTTTACGTCATTTAATCATTATAAGAACTAACTTCTTAAATTCCTATGAATCGTTCACTTTAAAATACGAAATTTTAAAATCAACCAAAAATCAGAGATTTTAAAATACGAAATTTTAAAATCAATCTAAAACGAAAAAGTAACACACCATCATTCAAGCAACACAGTATCATCTTCTCTATTTTTACATCATTTAATCATTATAAGAACTAACTTCTTAACACATCATCCAAGCAACATAATATCATTTTCTCTATGTTTACATCATTTAATCATTATAAGAACTAACTTCTTAAATTCCTATGAATCGTTCACTTTAAAATACGAAATTTTAAAATCAACCAAAAATCAGAGATTTTAAAATACGAAATTTTAAAATCAATCTAAAACGAAAAGGTAACACATCATCATTCAAGCAGTATTCAACACAGTATCATCTTCTCTATTTTTACATCATTTAATCATTATAAGAACTAACTTCTTAAATTCCTACGAATCGTTCGCTTTAAAATACGAAATTTTAAAATCAATCAAAAATCACCATAGAAAAGGGAGGATATATTGTTCTCTGAGAACACAGCCTTTATATCGCCCCTTTTATTTTTATATGGTTACGCAATGCTTGCATCATCGTGTGTTATAAAAAATCCGTTTCGCCGTAAGACTCGCCACAGGTCGTCCAAGTCTCGAAGCAAGCGATTCGATTCGAAATCGACGTGTATTCACGTGTATTCGCTATCGCTGACGAATGGAGAGGCGTTGCTTGCTCGGACACCGTCGATGACCGTTCACAGTCATTGGCGTCCTGCTCGTGTCACGTAAATCGTCTTCCTGGAACGAAGGCCACGAGAAAGTTCGTGCCGCTGGTTCAGTGCCACGGTCACGCTACGTGCGTGGCATCGACACCGACGAAAGTAAACTAAATCCAAAGGATTACGCAACCTCGACTTGAAAAGTCTGCCGATGTGCTTCTCTCTGACCGGCTTCTCTCTCCTCTTCTCCGTTCCTTTCTCATTTCCCACCATTTCTTATAATAATATTTATTTCTAATAATTCTTCCGATTCTCGCGAACATGACAGGAGAATCCTTCTCTCAGATCTCAGGAATGATGATCTGCTTTACACGCATACACGAGGATGTTTACGTACGCGAATTGTACTACTACGTGCGATTTCCTTGTTGGAAATTCGAGCGGGTTGCGTTCGGAGTAATTAACTTAAGTCCGGCTTACGTTGA